TCAGGCACTCTTCTTGGCTGCAGTGGTTATTATTATATTTACATGCTTCCAGCTCCCGTTTTTGCTCGATGACAGCTCGTACTTTTTCCTTTTGCAACGGAATACGCTACAGAATACATTTTGGGGCATGTATTCTGTATTCTGTAATGGAATACATTTTAAAAGTAACCTTCCCAACACTGTGTACCGATGACCAGATAGAAGCAACTTAAACTCTCCTAATAACGGGTATCATCCAGGAGAGACTGGGCCTCTTCAAAGTCATGACCTTATTCAGGTGAGGACGGTCATTCAGGGTCAGTCTTCCAGTTTTACTGCACACTGTGACTAAACCTTGAAGTGTACTTTTGTTTTTTAAGTTCAGATTCACTGACCTACTCTCATAAAACTGCTTCCGATTTGAAAATCGTGAATTGCGCGATTAAAGTACACGTCCTGACGATTTTTTCTGCACACGTGAAGCTCAGTGGTCAGCTGGAAACCCCATGAGCCTAAAGCTCGGGCTTCAGGCTGCTCTGAACACTCAGTTGCACACTTTTTTTTCCTGCTCTTGGCTCTCTGTGATGTCAGTGAGAAGGGATGTAACTAATGTAGTCAACACAAGCGGACTGCTCTGGCTGTGAGAAGCTTCATCCACCTGCTGTTCAAACCTTCTGTTTGAGAAGAAAAACAAAGGATCTCAAAAAGAAGAGATTTTGGTTTTCACCGAGACCCAGTGTACGATAAATAACGATCATTTTAACTGTGAGTCTTGCAAGACTGGTCTAATAGAGTCCAAGAATAAAAATATGGAGCTGTAAATGTAGGATCGGTAAGGTTTATGTGTTTTCTATATATGGATTCTTATATATACCCAGCATCTAAAGATACAAATGGTATGTGGTACTAAAGATGTGGACCCCGGGTTTAGAATGAAGGCTTCGGTTATTTACATTATATACTCAGAGTTGTATTATTATCCATCAGTCAGGTGAAATCCTATGGAAAAGGAACATCAGGTGTATTAATAACATAAACACTAAAGCCATCATGTAAATGATACCAGGATGTCCTGGTAACTCACTGACCTTCAGTACCAATCATGCAGCGGTGGCTTTGAAAGTGATTAATCCCGCCGTGTGTGTCATCTCCACTATTCACTTTAGCAAAAGTGCCCGTTAAAGCGTGGAGTGGATGCTTGACTGGAATTACACCGGAATTGTTTCCTCTCAGAAGCGACCCAGTTTGATGGCTTCATGTGGGCCGCAGCCCAGTGTGCCATAAATCTCAGGCGTGGAAACCGATCTACCGCCTGATGCAGCACCCAGTGGTGTTTCGCTCAGAGGAGGGCGAAACCTGAGTGAGACACAAACACACACTTCAGGCTCTTAAACACACCTCCCTCACTGTCCAGCAGAGTATTTGATGGCATCTGCTTACCCAAGCAGAGCAGGTTTTGAATAACCACCAAGTAAATGAAGAGGAAGTGTGTGTGTGTGTGTGTGTGTGTGTGTGTGTGTGTGTGTGTGTGTTGAATCCCTCTGAGAAAAAATACATCTTACTGTGTCTAAATGAAGCAGTAGAGTAATGAGGATCCTTAATAGAAGATAAGAGTGAGTTGGTCAGTGCAGCACTTTGATCTGAGTGAAATTAGCACACCAACACATTAAAGTGGTGATAAAACTGTAGCTTTACACACTAAACCTGACTATGTGATGCTTTGTTTTATTTTCCTTTTATTTAATTTCTTCTTTGATTTTTATTTTTTTACAGGCCTGTTGTTTTTTTTACTAGTATCTTATTAAAATTGTGTTTCTGTTTTTGTTTCATTGTAAGTCTTTAAAGTTTTGCTTGCTTGCATGTCTGCTGCAAACTGTATACAAAGTCTATTGTCCCCAGAAAATCAATACTTATGCAGACTTTGTTTCTTTTTGGTAAGGAGATCACTGTTTTGTCCATATATAGACAACACAAATAAAGGAAAAAAGCAGCTTGTGAGAAACCTGCACTTTCTTTGCCGTGCCAGCAGGGGGTCTCACCCCCTTTAGCAAAAAGTGCAAAAAATGACTCACCTGCTCATTGGATTTATGGCACCAATAAAGCCTTTTCTGATGAATGTATGGTCTCAGTTTCTAGTTTCTGTTCTGTGTTAAGTATTGTGAATCTATTGTGAATAAAATCAGGGTTTACGAGGTTTGCAAATCATCTCATTCTGCTTTGTGGGGTTTGTAAATTATGATTCCCATTATGAGTTGAAGAGATGATCCTCAAGCTTAATCAGTGAGCCTGGTTCTGCTGGAAGTTTCTTCCGGTAAAAAGGGGTTTTCTGATTGTTGGGGGTTTTCTGTATAATTGTAGAGTCTGTACCTTACAGTATAAAGTGTGTTAAGGTGACTGTTGTTGTGATTTGGGGCTATTCACTAATGCTGTAATGGCTATAAGACGTAAAATCTTTTTGCCTGTGTAATGAATACTGCTAAACTTGCTCCTAAATCTCTCAAATCTCTCCTGTTGAACTTTAGCCATTCCCTCCTAGTGTATGACATTTGATACATACAGTTTTTGTGAATTTTTGAGACTTCTACATCATTAGTGTGATTTCTTTCCCTCAAAAAACCTTGAAAAAAAATAGCAAAATACATTTTTAAGCAATAATTTAAAAGAAAATCCAGATACAGCAAATATGATATCAATTAAAAGTCATATATGCGAATTAATGTTTTTAAAAATAGAATAAATTTGAATTTTTCTGCAATTATTTCATGGTTCAGGCTTTAGGATTTATTGGCACACCTATTAAAAACAGTTTCTAACGTCTCTGTTTTATTATTTTATTCGTAATTTTGTGCCCGTCTCACTTTGTCACTCATTTTTGAATATACCCTCACAGGGCCACTAACATGGCTGAAGACTGTTACTCTTGTTAGTAATATGCCTTACTGAAAATTATTTCCTTTTTTCTCTCCGTCTGGTTCCACAGTTTCAGTGAACCATCCCTCTTCACCACAAATGAGAACCTCCTGTTCGAGGAACTCTCTCTGAACCGTCGCCCCAGTGTTTTACAGAAACGACCACCACCACGTCCTTCATTCAGCAAGTCATCCTCCGTGTTCCCCTATAAGACCAGCCAGCCCCACCAGGAGGTCTCGAGCTGCAGTCGACCGACCTTTATTCACTTCTCTCACGCCATCCAGCCGAGCTCGAGGCCAAGACCAGTGAGACGCCACTCACACAACCTGGCCCTGAGCTCAGACATGCTGCACGGTGACTTCCGGCCTTCAGCTTCCCAGTATAAGGAAGAGCCTTTGTCAGTGGTTGGGAAGCCTTGCCTTCTGACCTGCAGTCAGCGCCCGGCTGCTGGTCCGGCTCGCACACAGATTCACGTATTTCTACCCAGCGAGGCCGAAGGAGAGGAGGCAGACAGGGAGTCTGTGGACGAAGGCTTCATGGATGAGCTCGACAGCAAGATAACCTCTCTGAAGCTCCAGAAAGAAGCACCAAAAACAAATACACCTCACACATGACATGAATGATTCCTCCATTGTAGTCCAAGGGCAGCCCTGTCTGCATTATTATCAGTTCTTTTTAAGGTCTGTGGCTGTTAGGATTTAGGTCAGATTACCTATAGATTGTCCAGGTTTCAACAGTTTTTCCCTTTGTTATTTGGAAGAACCGGACAGAGAGGTCTGACCTCCAACACCTTCAGACTGAACTGTACATTAGCGCTGGACATGACTGAGCATGACGAAGTTTGTAGATAAGCTAGGTTTCTATGATTTGATGTCGGCATAGGTTTGGTCATGTTTACATTTTTTACACTCTTCATTTCTTCTTCTTTTACAAGATAGCATAGAAAAAAAACATGCATGAAAAAGTAAGGTTTTGCAGATTAATTAGCCACTAACAAAAAATAAAATGTAGTTATGCTGATATATATTGATGGTTTTATAGCAAATAATCTTGATCATGCTGATACAGTCAGAGATTCTTTCTTTCAAAACTATAAAAAGACTGTATAACTTTAAATTTAAAACCTTTGTGCTCTTTTTAACAGTCCAACATGTATATTGTGTTGTGTTTGCAAATTAGTGTGTTTCTACATTATTCGCATGAAGGCACAAAGTGTGATTACCGCCCTGTTTCTGTCAACAGCAGAAATTTGCTGATAACAATGTAAACTATGTTGTGTATTGATAAAATTACTTTTACTGGCGTACAAGATTGGCACTTAGTTAAAACCAATTTCCTGAACTGTGGTTTACTTCAGAAATTTCTCACTTACTGTAATGTTTTACCTTTCATTGGCCTCGTTTATGCTATTTGGTGTTTATTTGGTTATTTCTGTGAAGACGTTTTAAATGTGTAACATTTGAAAAACTGTACAAAATAAAGTTTATTATTATGATACCAACAAATACAAATAGCAGTTCTATTTGGGTGAGATACATATTATTTTGGCTCCCGCCATTGTAGTATTTTTCTTACCACTAGGAGGCGGAAAAGCAACCTCAAAGATGGGGTAGACCTTGACCGAAGAAGAAGAAGAAGAAGGAAAACAAACGGTCCTGTTGGACTGGACGCATATGATTGTAGCAAGGGGATGCATTTGAAACGTTTTTCTGTTTTGGAGTTTGTTTACCATTGCTTAGTCGCATTTTATTGTTAAACTCAAAGAATTGGTGATTTGGGACCACCATGGCCGATACGGAAACTAGCGGATGCGAACGTCTGACCACCAATCAAGTGACTCCTGTGCAGGTCGGCGCGGTAATTCTGTGCACGTTGTTACGGCGGTGAACTACACTTTTTAAAATCATATACCTGCATCCAAAAGAATTATAAACAGAGCGGGTATTTTACATGTGCAGAGGTTATTTATTGCGTGGTGAAAACACGGAGGCAGACTAACCGCAGTCATAGCTGCATGGATCTGTAAGCAGGCTAGCGTTAGCTTAGCAAAGGCTGAGCTAGTAGTTCTCTCTTTACAGGTCTGCTAATTAATATATCAACAAAACATGGCTAACTCCAAGGAAGTGACTTGTACAGAGGTAATAACACCCATTACCTACAGTCTAACGGAGTATTACAGCCATTTGTCAAACCTCTGTGCAGCAGCCACGCTGTAGTAAGCTAACTTGTTATGGTGTTGCTGCACGCCTAAAACAATAATTAAACCTTTACATTGAATCTGTACTGAGTGTGTGTGTGTATATATATGTGTGTGAAACACACACCCCGTGTTTATTAAATGGTCACTGATAAGGTACCTCTATTGCAAACTTAGGCTGCTAAACTTTGCACAAATCCGTGCTGCAGAATTTAGCTTCGCAAAATGCGGTCGGGTCTTTAACCTGCACCAAACCTGAGCACTGACTAGCCCTACTGATAGCTTTAAAGGCTATTTAATTAATTACACGATGCAGTCAGTGAAGCGGACACTGCTGAGCTTGATCCTGCTGCACATGGAAGCAGTTCAGGGTGTTTTTAGTGCTCCAGATCAGCTTATGGTAGCGCTTTTATATCCCTAAAATGAGGTTATATTAATGTGGTATGCACATCCCTGCGGTGTGACCAATTTCCTCTGCTTGTGTTTCAAACACCTCAGTTGCTTAGTTTGAAGAGTGAAGCATCATGGGCATTATGAGTCTGCAGGAGAATTTAGTATCAGCAAAGATGGATATTTTAGGTCTGAGACAGCCAGCTTTTTAGTCTTTTTTTGTTTAAACTGGTGTTTGGCAGACATTTCTGTACTTGGTTTTGATTTTAGAGCTTTATTATTAACTGCACAACAACCACCTTGATTAAATTTGGCTACAGAGTGGTGGGACGTGTTTCCTGCCGTACTTAGTTTTTGTGCAGCTCATATTTCACAGCC